CAGTTGTGCAATATGGATGAAGTCTTTTGGAGTATCAGTAGCCCTATTTTCATAATCTTCCTCCTACAATATTAAGGATTTAGAAAGAGTAGATGTTAAGATAATTGTATTGCATAAAACTGGTTATGTTTGACCGTACTTGCTTTATATTTTTTTCATTCTCATTTCTTTGATTCTCGTGTCTTCTTGTCATCTGTTGCTTTTTCCCCTTTCCTGTTGAGTAGATTAGAGTTCATTATCAGGTTACTCAGAAGACTATTGCAAGGAAGACTCCAGTGGAAAAACCTCACTCTGAAGTTGCCTTGTCATTGATCCCTTAGTGGAAGGCTTGGTCCAAAAATCAACCCACATTTTTTGAGGCTAAATAATTCAACACATTTTTTTGTATTCCAAAGATTTGCCAGCTCCTGTGAGAGGGGTGAAAAATATAATTTTGTAGGACATTGTATTTTTCCTTTACCACAAAATGCTCAGATTTGGAATAATTGGAGCCCAGGAGGCAAATGACCTTGCTTCTGCCCATTCTCTGCTAAATTTTACTCAGTTCTGCCCACTGCAACTCTCTAGTTATATGTACTCATGGGCAGGTACAGCAACTATTAACCCAGACACACTGTTAAATGGTGTGAGTTAAACTTTTCTTGGAGTGAAACTTTCTTCTTTTTAAGGCAGAATTGAATATCTTTTTATATATGCTGTAAAGAGTTTTTAGTAAGTATTTAACATCTAAGGAATGATTTACTTGGAAATTAAAAGCAGGTCAACTTATTTAGCAAACTAAACACTTAAATTGTTACTCAAGTCATTGAAGCTGAAGAAAAAGTGCATTGTCTGTATTCTGGATATTTTATGTCACAATATTCCATGTACCCAACACAATCTTCACTTTCCATTGGTTTGGGGTTGGGTTTGGGTTTTTAATTCAGTAGTCCTTTCCTTGGTATAGGTTTGAAGTGATTGGTATTTTTTTATTATTTTTTCATTAACTTTATTGGTACATTTAAGGTAAACAATACAATTCACCATTGGGAACTTGTACCTTTACATGATGTATCTTTGTTCTTATTTTTCCCCATTCCCCTGCCCTCCCTTCACTCCCTTCACCCTTCCCTATTTACAAAGACTTTGTTTCCATTTTTTTCTTTTTTTAATATTTTTTCATTTTCCTTATTTCCTTTCCCCTACCCATCCCACTTCCTCTTCTCCTTTAAACATTTTTTCCTGTTTCACACTATCAATTATATCATTTGAACCTTATTTACACTTTTATTTTTTGATACCAAAGAAACTATTTGGTATTTATACATGTGTGACTTATTAATTTTGCATAAATGTATTTCCTCATTGTGCATCCACTTAGCTATAAATTTCTCATTTTTTTCAGCTTTAATTGAGCTTATTGGTACATTTTAGGGATACAGTACAGTTACATTCATTCTTGGGATCTTGTACCTCTACATGACAAGTCTTGATTCTCATTTTTCCCCTTACCTCTGCCCTCCCTTCACCCCCTCCTCCCCTCCCCATCTACAAACACTTTATTTTCATCTTTTCATTCTCTCACATTTTTTTCTTTTCCCTTTTTACTCTTCCCTTACCCATCCCACCTTCCTTACACCTTTAGCTCCTTTCTTCCCATTTCTAAATGTCAGTAATCTTATTAGAATCTTATGCATTGTTGCAGATTATTCACACCAGGGAAACTATTCGGTATTTACACATGCGTGACTTATTTATTTCACTTAGGAGTATATCTTCAGTATGTATCCATTTTCCTATGAATGAATCTATTTTCTCATTCTTTATGGCTCAGTAATCACAGAACTAGAAAAAAAAATCCAAAAATTCATTTGGAACCATAAGAGACCTAGAATAGCAAAAGCCATTTTAGGCAACAGACACATGGCACCAGGTGTAACAATTTCCAATTTCAAACTATACTACAAAGCCACTGTGATAAAAACAGCATGGTACTGGCAAAGAAATAGGCCTGAGGATCAGTGGAACAGACTTGAAGACACAAAAACAAATGCAGATGTACTCAGCTACCTCATCTTTGACAAAGGAGCTGACCATCCTCAGTGGAGGAAAGATAGCCTCTTTAATAAATGGTGTTGGAAAAACTGGATGTCAACCTG